TACAAGAATGATTTATTATTCATTATTTAATATTATTTACATGATTATTGTCTTTAATGTACATTCTTCATAGTCTTCTTTTAATATATATTCTTCATGGTCTTCATTTCGGGTACATGATTATGGTGTTTTTCTCTTAATATACGTTCTTGATCATGGTTTTGTTGTAAATTCATGTGCACGATTGTGATCTTGTTCTCTTCATATACATTGCTAATAGTCTTTTCATCTGTATTAGTAATGATCTGGTAGCTGTGTATATATCGATACTGGTTTTTACCATAGTCGTTTGTTCATTTTTCCAGTTCATATGTTGTGTTAAATTGTAAAAATTTTTCTGTTTTCTTATTTTCTTATTAAAATAAAATCTTTTTTCTCTACATTAAATTGTAAAAATTTTTTTCTTTGATAAAGAAAGGTATTTAAAAGTATGGTTTTAAAAGCTATCCGTTTCGTTGATTAACAGTTTAAATAAGAGATGTACAAGCGATTTTTTTTGATTATTCAATTGTTTTTACTACTGTATGAGATTTCTTACCGGTTATAGTGATGCTTTTTGTATAGTGGCTTTTAATCTGCTACCGGTTGAAATATCTTTAAGAATACTAACATTCAAAATAGAATTTTTTTTTCTGCGAAAGGAATACTCATTGAGCAACACATAGTTCGACAGAAATTGTTTTCTTTCAAAAACACAAGAAAATGTAAATCGTTCTTTTGGTCATTTCTCGATCATAAGGACAAGCAGAGAAAAAGAATCATTTAGAGAAGATCTTGAATTTTGATTTTGCATCGTACAGCATCAGAAAAACCTTCATTATATGCAAATGAAATCAATGCTTTTTGTTCACTTAGTTTCTTTATTGAATCAGTTTGATCAGATGATTCGGATGTTGTTGGCGGTTCTTTTGGACCAAGTTTAAATGTAGCAAAAAAATCTCGTGGAACCTAAACAATGAAATTTTATAATAAATCAGATAGAATAATCTTCACATTCGTTCCAGTTGTATCAAAAAACATGTTTTCTCCTAGCGCAATTTTTATAAGAAAAGAAAAAACATATACATCTCGATTTGGTTTCAGTTGTCACACAAAAAATTTCTGCTCAATCTGTCGAAACGTCTGAAAGAAAAATGGAGAAAATTTGATTTTGAGAACAACACGAAACAATGTAAAATGAGATTTTTTTCATGTATAGCTATCACTTAATATACTTCCGAAATGGCTACTTCGATAGAGAGCACTTGAATATCTTGTTAGATACAAAAGAGAAATCGAAAATGAAACAAGTGAATTTTTGGAGTCGAAAAAGGAAGGGTACTTTTAACCTTCACAAATATTTTTCTCACATCTCAATGATATCATACATGTCTAAGAAAATAAATCAATAGTAATATGATAGCTACAAATGAGTTCTCGTATAAAAAAGAAAAAGAACGGTATCGTTTCTTGTGAGATAGACAATAACTAACAACACTATATTTAAACGACTGATTAAATCAATCTAAATTAAGAAAGTGTAAAAAATAAATGATCTGCAATGATATTTACGTTTCATTGATTTTCATTCTTCTGGAATAATATTATTTTTTGAAATTGCTAGCTTCATATATAACCTTAAGTTTGCTACATGAGTAAATAATCATAATGATTTGTTTTTACATACATGTGCAATGCGTCGAAAAGAAAATAAAACCTTACGTGTCTTTGCTGATATATATATCTTCCTTGACAATTTTGTTTCTTGCTTAACTTTTATACACATTGTCTATGAATCTAATATTTTGATTGATTATATATGAGATTAACAACTCTAATCTAGTTTGAATCGAAAGAAAAAAAAACACCGTGTAAATTTTTGTTTTTAATGTATGACATCAATAAAACAATTCTTTACATATTCTACATCACGTTTATTCAAAAAGAAAGAATCTATACTTCTCACGTGCAATACATGCATTTTATCAACTACAGTGCGTATTGTATTCAAACGATATTTTAATGTAAACTCAGTGAAGCGTAAAACAGCGAGAAGAACAGATATATTTACCAAGGTATTCATATGTCACATATGTAAAAAAAAAAATAAAATAAAACAAATATTATGCTATATTCTTCGAAACGTCCATCTGTAGTGTGGCTTTGGTGGCGTCGAAAATCATTTTATCTTCGAAGATTACCTATTAAAAAGATTATATTTGTATTTATATGTATTCTACTTTTGATTCTACAAATACCGAATCCATTTTCTTCTATATACAAACGAATTCCAATTAATCAAAATGTACAATGGGATAGTATCAATGGAATATTAGAAATGAAACAAAACGTAAATTTTCTTTTTTCTTTTTTTTAATTTTTAAAATAAAAAATAATTCAAATAAATTAAATTTAGATTCTTCTTAATGATTCTCTTTCAAAACAAGTTAAAACAATAAAACATGGAAATGAAGAAATTCAATCATCATCACATATTCTTATTCTTCTTTATACAAGTATTTTTCTTTCGAAAAAATATTGTAATCAAAAAGCTGATAATATATTTGGTCAAACTTGTCCATCAAAAGATCAATGTCAATGGACATGTGATAATCGATAATTAGGTCAAGCAGATGCAATTATTTTTCATGCATATGATATACAATATTATCAAGCACGAGTACCAAATCGTTCTGAAACAAAAAAAATTCTATATGGATTTTATGGTCAGATGAACCACCATCAATGGTTGATTATACTTTATTTCAACATTATAAATTTAATTGGACAATAAGTTATAAATTAAATAGTGAAGTA